GTGAAGGACAGGAAGGCCTGGCGCAATATGGTTCATGGGGTCACGAAGAGTCGGACACGACTTAACGACTAAACAACAACAACAAATATTATTCTATGCGTATTTATTTATTTGCTTGCTTGCTTGCTTGCTTCACCAAACTTATAATTTGGCAGAAATTTCTAGAGTGTCTCAGGATCACACCCATGTTTGGTGGGGCTGCATGCATTCCTGGAGACTTCATAGTATCTAGCTCTAGTACAGGTTTTTCCTGAGTGAGGTGAATCAATTCAGTAAGAAATCAACTTCCTGATTTTCTGATTAGCGGGGCAGACTCTGACAGAGGTAAGAAGATTTCCTCCAAATTAATTTAAATATATGGATTGACTCATATGTTCATATTTGCCAATCATAAACCGTAGCATCAAGAACTGACTTCAGATGTGCTGATGCATTGATCACTACAGGCCAAACTGCTATCATCCCCTGTGAATTCCAGCATACCACTTTGCAATAAAAACAGTTATTAAATTCATCAGCCAGTCATCCAGTATAAAATAAGAGGTGATAATATATTACGTACTGTACAATGTGTTATTAAAAAACTAGCCCTAACCCTAACTTTTCCAGGAGCAATGAGGTGGGTATAAAAGGGAATGTTCAAAACCATGGATGGAGAACTTAGAGAGGCCTTTCCTGTCCCTGATTCTCAGCCTTATTCCCCCACTTCTCAACTCTTTCTTACAATCACACAACCAGGGGAGGAGAGGAGGTTTCAATCTTCCTCCTCTTCCTGCAGCTCTCTGAGTTATTTTGTGCAGATAACCTGCAGAAAGGAAGAGGAAGTTCACATTAACATTATATTCTGCCACCACCAGTCAAACATTCATATTATAAGTTGCTCTGACCTTTCCATACAATTAGATAACAAGGAGAAACTTTAAATGGATTTTCCTGTATTTGTTCTGCCATAAAATCAGCTGCTTTTTTTAAACTCCCTTTAGGATGCTACAAGTGGAATATGAGCAACTGAAGGAACAGCATATTCGAAGGGGAATCAATGCCCTAAATTCACCACCGGACTCAGCTGTGTCACCTCAACACACATCTGAAGATGCTGAACTCATTGCAGAGGCCAAACTCTTACGACAACACAAAGGACGTCTGGAAGCTAGAATGCAAATCTTGGAAGACCACAACAAGCAACTGGAATCTCAGCTTCACCGGCTACGACAGCTGCTCGAACAGGTACTGTATTCAGCGACTTTCTCCCTCTGACAGCAGTTATTTGTAGACCTACAGTGTCAACCTAATGTTTGAAGCAAGTTAATTGTATTTGACTTCCTTACAGGCATATTGTTTTGTGCTCTGTTTGGTTTCTCTCTCCAAAATGACTTTCTTTTCAATTTTTTATTCTAACCATGCCAAAAGTAAAGTCATATAATCCCTAGTGACAGTTGATTAAAAAAGAAATTGTTTCCGAATATTATTCCCCGGAGAACAGCCAGGAAAATTTAGGAAAGCTATACCACTATTGGGATTGTGGGAGTGAAAAGGTGCAGGTGCCTCCTTTTGAAAAAAGAAAGGTGCTGGAGTTTAAATCCATCTGGAAACCAAAAATCTGATCAGTCAGACTACCACCAAGCCCTAAATGTATTGACCACCATAAGCATTTTAATTCTCCATTCTACAATTCATAGAAAAAACAAGAAGGAATGTTGTCAGCGTGACTTCCTTCTATTTTGTCACTATTAATAACAAAGCATTCATTCTGAAATACAGGAGTCCAGCCCCAGTTAAACCCTAACTCTTCTCCTGCATTTGAGACATTGCACTAGTTCACAAATTATACTTGTTTCGAAGTGCACAGAAAACATGTTATAATAGCCTTCCTCCGGTCTGTTTGTGCAACATTTGGAAGCATTAATACGTATGTTTCTTTCAAATGTATATTTGGAAGCTAATTCAGTTACGTTTCTTTTCAAATGGTTTCAAAATGGGCTATGTGGTGACACGTGTTGTGTAACCTTGTGGCATGCGCTACTGTTTGTTTTTCTGACATGTTGTTTGCAAATCAGTCTCATTTTTTAAAAAGACTTCTTTGTTACTATGATATGTTGACTGAAGAGTGTTGATTAGATTAATAACCTACCAAAAGTGTATTCTCTCAGAGCTGTGGGAAGAAAAACTAATTGAGCTGGTGGTATCAAATATCAGAGAATACTGTTGGTAAGATTATTTTGCATTCCTGCATTCCATTACATTGAAACTTGAATATTTCAGGTTACAGTTTGAAGGTGTACTTGCTATTTTTATTTCAACAAGCCCAACGGATTGGTGGTTGCCAGGGAATGTGGCCATTTTTGTCCAAAACATTCATTACAAAGTCAGACTTGGAGATGAAGTAGAACTGCATGTAGGAGCTTCATAAAGACATGTTAAAAAACAGAAATTCTCATGCAGTCATAGATCCCTTAAATAAATCTTTATGAAAATCTGGAAGCTTGCAAATCAAATGCTCTTATTAATATGGAGACAAGGAATAAGAGAAATAGGCTGTAAGTAGGATTAGCCATTCCTTATGTGGCATCAGACATCAGAATCGGGTGAATTTGTCAAAAAATAGAAGCAAAATATTTTGTTAATTCAGGTCAAGCTGAAGAAAGACTGGGGATGTGGGAATTCATAAGCCCAACGCTTGCTGAGAATTGCTTCGTAATATTGAACAACTATTTAGTATTACATGAAATTCATCCCCTCTCTTTTCTAACCTACTAGGAAGAACGATCAAAAAGACACTCATAAAAATAACTCTTTAGTAAATTAGACAATGAATAACAACACCAGTAGAAAGGCATGGACAAACGCAAAATACAGTACTAGCAGAACATTTCACTCATACTCAGTATTTTAACATTATGGGGACCCTTTTTAAGAGCTTGAAGTTTTTAAGGATCATGTACTGAATAAAACATAAAAGATTGTTATATGTTAAAAATACCCTTTTGTAGAATTAGTCTAATTCTAGGAAATGATGCTTACCTGCCAAAGCAGTGTTTCTCGCTGGCTGAGAAATTCTGGGAGTTGAAGTCTACAACTCTTCAAGTTGCCAAGGTTGAGAAACACTGCTGGAGACATATGTTGCTTACATTGGTGCTGATATTCTGTTCTGCTCATGAGGCTCTGGCTCTTGGCTCCATTCACCATTGAAATGCTCCAAAAATGCGAAAGCTAACACAGGGTTCACTTTACATCAAAGCTATTATGAAGGCTATTAAAATTCCTATATAAAGGTTCATCACCAGCTGAACAAATCAGTTGCCAGCATGTTTGTGGGATATGGGGAGAGCCAGCAGGCCCAATCAATAATACTTAACTCTATCAAAAGCTTGCTCTTTTTTTATGGGGTCGTCTTCATTTCAATCCTGGATATTGAATACAGGTAGTCCCCAGTTTAAGAACGAGTTCCATTCCCAAGGTCTGCCCTTAAGTTGAATTTGTATCTAAACCGGAACAGTATTATTGTATAGTACTGTATAAGTAGTATTGTGTAATTAACTTCAACCACTGCATATTTAAGTTGAATCATTGTGTATTTAACACAAATTTTGCTACAATACCATTTTGCTCCGTTCTTAATTATGGATTGTCCTTAACTGGTTGTTCTTAACTTAGGGACTACCTGTATTACAAAGTCAGTTTTATTAAATTAGATCAAATATTTAAAGTATGCTCTGATATGTTGAAGTGAATTTATTTCTAACTCTTAATTTATAGCCTGAAACAGATTCCAGAGTTAATGGAGGTTCTTCTAATGCTTCACCTCAGCAATCCACCCTTGGGTATTCACCTGATCAGGATGTTAGTTCACAGTTTAATCAGACAGGTAAGTTACTAATTAACACACAGATAGCATTATATTTCTCTTGAGTGGGATTCCAAACTCTATTTAGTTATAAAATCGACCTCTTGCAAAATATGTGCTGAGATCTGAGAAATCTTGCCATTGTATATTTAGGTTGAAATTTGAGTTATGGGTTTGCCTGTTTTCTGTCCCCCACAAGTTGTATGGTTCATTATATAAATATTCAGTATATGTATTTGCCTAATGCAATATCAGAGATAAAAGTTTTTCTTAGGTGCCATGAGCATTTCCTCCTAGAATTAGAAAGTTAATGTATAAAGAGCCAAGTAAGTAAGTACTACAAAGGCAGATTATTATAAGGCTTTGATATTTATTCAGGTCAGGTATTCAGTTTATTCTTAGGAAAAAGTATAATTACTTGTATGTAAATTGTCATTCAAGGCAACAAGGTTTCATACTTTGGCTGAAAGATTCATAACCTTTCTGAAGAAATTGGTAAAAATAAATTTATTTATTCACTCATTTATCATTTTTTAACCACTCTAAAGCATTTTTAGCCATTATAAAGCCCTTTGGGCACCTTATAAAAGTTTAATATAAAATAATGAAATATTAAAAAGAATGAAAGAGCTAAGTAGATAAAATGGCCAACAAACCAAAACCCATCAATTGAATATGTCACTACTGAATTTTCAACAATTGCAAAATGATCCCCTTAAAGTCAGGCCACAGGCTTGCCAAGTAAAACAATTATTATATTATTGTTACCTCATGGTGATAGATGACTTTCATTTTATTTTAATAGGCGAGATTAAAAATGAATTTAAAGGGGGGTGGTTGGACCTTTTAATTCAGTATAAACATTGATATTAAAAACACCAATGAATAGAGATATATTCTTCTTTGCATCTCTCTCCAGCCCACTTCTGAAGATATTATTGATGTTTCCACAGCAAAAGCTGCATAGAGGCCTCAGTCCCATTTTTGCAACTCCGGGACCTACACTAAATTACGCTGCCAATATTCAGTAGCAAAAGAAAAAAAAACTTTGGCTCTGTGATTTTTAATCTTTTTAACTTTCTTTTTAAAAAGCGGGGACCCCAATATTATTTGCACAACCAAGGTTCAGGCCCCAGCCCCGCAAAATTGTATATGCCCAAGCCACAACTTCCCCTACTCATATGTTTTTTGCAGCCTTTGAAAGTTTGTAGGTGAGAGAGTATGGACGGACGGACGTATAGATAAATAGATGGACAGATAGATGGATAGAAGGATTATTGAATGGATGGATGGTTGTATATGTAGATGGATGGATGGATAGGCAGATAGATCAGCCTCCACTAGCCACAAAATAGTCCAGTTTGTGAAATGGGTGCTAGGTCAAAGAGAAGTGGGTGAATTTGCTCCTCTCTGCTTTAGCCCCAAAGGTATTATAGAGCCTTAGGAAAGCAAGGAGCCAACTATTGCCTTCAGCCACCTCAACTCTGAGGCATACAACTGAAGACCAGCACTTTTGTGCTACTGTCTGCTACTAAGAATATTTTTTGGCATCATGAAGGCAAGGTACATGCTTCATCCATGTGGGGTCATTTAGGACTACTGCTTCTCTTTTTTTCCTTATCTTTCCTTCTTTATTCAAAATGTGGAGGCTCTGGCCTTTATAATGTTCAGTGGCCATTTGGGCACTGAGGCTTTCTGCTCAATACATTGACTTGAAATACAGAGCCATCATGCGTGCTTTACCTACTTGATACATAATAAAACTGCAGTATTTCCACAGCTAATTGCTCTGGGACAATTCTCTGTGATATTATTGCAGGCATCATGGGTAAGCTTAACCGTTCAGATATGAGATAAGGGATAAATTGATACTTTAATTTCCATTCCTCTCTTCCCTAGTCATTATCAATGAGCCATTCTTGCATATCAAATCAGAGATTTTGATCAGTGGAATTCTTCTTTAAAATTCCTCTAAAACCATTAAGATAATAAGGGTAGGTAGAAATAGCTTTTGGGATTTTAAATGCTATTTCTTTTTCTACTAAAGTAGTTGCACATTTTGTTTTCTTTAGGTGTAGATGACTTGCTAGTCCCACCTCATCATACTAGCACAGATTTAACGGAGGTCATGGAACAAATCAATAGCACATTTCCAGCTTGCCGCGGTAAGTATTCAACATACCGAGCCAAGAATCTAAAGTTGAACTTGAACACAATTGCTTGTTTGAAATGCAATCATTATAATGCTCTGTAAAACTGTTCACAGAATAGACCTAGGAGGAACTACAATCTGGAATCAAACGCTAACACTTACTTTCAGAAAAATACCATGGTGTAATATATCACTCCATAAAGATCTGAAACTTTTGCTTCTAAGAAATCTTTTTTTTCATTACACAGGAAAGGCATATGGCTAAACAGCTTATAAAAACTCATAAATCTCCAGAGTATAGCTACATTAGCCTGTTGAAGCAAATGCAACAGAATTTTAGGGCCTCTTAAAATCTTAACAAATGTTTTTATAGCATATGCTTTAAAATGCTTTCTAAATGACGCAGTGCAACATCTTTCCATTGCCATTGGCACAAGCAAACATAAACATGGCTAAGCCAGAAGTGATAACATATTTGTCTGAATATGAAGCCTGCATAGATAATGTTGGCCTTGATTAAGAGAGATGGGACTGTTAATAGCCAAGAGTGCAACAAGTACCTGAAAGAGTCGGGAACACTTGCAAAAAAAGGGAACAAATGTCAGCCCTTCGGGGTAGACCACACCAGGAAACCAAAGTCATGAATCCCAATTCTACTTTTATTTTAAGGTTACAGTAACAGAATCCTGCAAGTCTGAATGTGCCTCCCCCATCCCTGCCTTTACCTTCAAGAGAACTAGGGAGGGTCAAGTCTGAGACACTTTCTCAAATTACATTTCCGTCTTGGACTCAATTTTTTTTTTTAATCTGACCATTATCTTTGTTGCCACTCTTCCTCCTGTTCCTCAAGATTACTCTTACAACCATTACATCAACCCAACATTGCTAGCGTTCTCCGCTTAATGCCCATGTTGAGGAAGATGCCTAGTGATGAACATTATAGGTACATTAACATTATAGGTACCTTAAGCAAAGGTCAGAGGAAAATGGATCTTCCCATGCTGTATGAAAACATTTTTTCTAGATAAATATGCAATCTTTATTGGTTTAATCAGGTATGTTGCGTTTTTTTTTATATGCAGAATGTCAAATTATGTAACCAGGCACTAAGAAGTGTACCTTATGTGATTGATGTAACCGGTAGTTTGATTCTCATACTACAGCCTGAAATGCTACAGTTCAGCAACAGATATATATGTTACATGTCTGTTATTTGTATAATTTGTTTATTTTATTTTATTTATTTATCAAATTTGTATAGCCACAAAAAATTATTCTGGGTGGCAAACAGCAATCAAATAATTATGTACATCCATATCCTTGACCTAGAATAACTAATAACCTTGGCTGTATGTCCAGGCAGTCGTCTTCTTGCAACAGAAAAGCAAACACTTATCTTTATCGCAAGTATCACAAAATTACGTGCCAGGAATTCTGCATAAATACTAATTTACCTTGTTTCTGTTCATACAACTTCTCTTCAATAGAAAAAGGAGGTGGGATCAGGAAGATTTATGACACTGCTCCTCCACCATGCAGAGTTTGAATTAATGTATGAACTTTGCTGCATTTAATGAGAGACTATTAACATTTTAGCAGTTGGTTGTGGTGTTTTCCCTGCACCTTAGTGCTGCACATACTTTGTTATTATCTGGGAGCCCCATATTTTTATAAGCCCAGAATGCCAACTGGTCCCTTAGCCTGCCGATTAATCACCAATCTGTGAAGTTTAGATACAGCAGTTACTGAGTCCTAAGTGAGTTTTCACTTTTTCCTCAGTTCAAACTTATGTTTTTGTCATTCGTTGTTTTCTCTCCAAATACAGGTTTTGTTTTTGTTTTTTTTAATTCAGACACACCAGATTGAGTTTTTACCTGCTTTTGAACTCTGTTCTCATTATGACATCCTATTTAAATATTAAGGTGGCCGTATTTGCTGCTGAGGGTATGAATTTTCAATTATGTTTTCTGACAAGTGGACAAGAGACCATCAGGTCAGCTAAGATGATACAGATCTGCAGAGGATGATATGTAAAGTAGCCTCACTCTGCATAGCAACAGGAACAAATCTGCTTCATAACTTTGATTGTTATGACTAATTGATGCATTCCTGTTAGTGATTTACTAATCGTTCATTCTCCGCTAGGTGGGTGAAAACTGAATGTTCCTCTATGGGTATTTATTCTGGTCCTTAACAGAGCATATGGCAGCATTCTCCTCTATAGATAGTAATTACTATGCATAACTTTCATTATCAATTTTTTATTTTAAGTTTACCTGACGTTTATTGAGAACTTACATTTGTTCCTAGTTCAATATTGTACTGATTTCTTTGAAATCATGAAAGCAAATGCATTTAATAGTCATGAAATTAAAGCATTGAAGGTACACAATCCCATGCAAAATAACTGAGATAAAATCAAATTGTATTATCCATTACAGTAAAACCTTGGTTTGTGAGCATAATTCGTTCCGGAAACATGCTTGTAATCCAAAGCACTTGTATATCAAAGCGATCACCCACAATCCCGCAGCGAGAAAGAGAAGAGCCATTGGCTCAGTTGTGATCATGTGACGTTCAGCGTATTGCAAGACATCACTCGTTTATCAAGTTAAAATTTATTAGAAATGCTTGCTCGTCTTGCAGAACACTCGCAGAACAAGTTACTCGCAATCCACGGTTTTACTGTATGTAGTTGTGCTCTGCTCTGCTATACTGTACTCTATTATAATATACTGATATTATGTTATATTTACAGTAATATTAACCCTAAGCCAGACTCTACTAAACTCTGTTAAATATCTCCTATCTCTCATGTACATTTCCTTCCTCTTGCAGAACTACGTTGGAGATCATACCCTTTACAACACAGCTAGAAAACAAATTAAAATTCAGCTACTTTGAATTGGTTTTTGGGGTTTGTTATTTGTTCTTGATAATTATTCAAACCCTGTTCTAATTTAGAATATGAAGATCTGGTTCTAAACAAGTACTGTTAGACAGAGATGTTGATCATTCACAGTTAAAGACATTTATCTGATTCAGAGTCTTTTCATTATTCCTTTTGAAATGATCTTTAGACCAAACTATTGGGAAAGACTCACATACAGTCAAAGTACATTTTCTCATTCTCCAAATACTCAAGGGATTTCCCCCCTAGAAACTAGTGGTTTTAGTACCTCTCTCTCATACGCACATGCCATCTTTTCCCCAAAAGCTGTGCTAAATTGTGAAAACTGAAAAGATCCCTAAATCAGACCCCATCCCTTCCACACTTGAGTGCAAACCTGAACTTCTGCAGTTGAAAGTATATGGCTGATGCTCTCCTTTAGTCAGAACAACCCATGCCTTGACATCAACCAAAGGATTTGTGCTCTCTTTGCCCTTTTTGTTCTCGACTGTGACCTTCATTTCACATTTTACAGCCATTACATTATCATTAAAAATAATGAAAGGTAGAAACAGCAATTTCCTGAAGGATAAGCCATTTCAAGATTTCAAGAGATCAGGTTTTTGTATTGTTTAAAATAGGAAAATGGTATGTTGCATGAGACATATCTTTATCTTGTTTGAACTCTTGTTTCCAATTCTGTCCTGGAATTGATCAATTAAGGTAAATTGTTTTTCTGCTTTGCTGAACAGGAATGGTCAGGAACTATAGTATTCCTTGGGGTTGTAACAAAGACTGTGGAATTGTGAACCTACGATGAAAATTTAGCCTTTACACAGAATGCCTGAAGTGCTTCAGAAAACTTAAAAGTGGGGTTCAAAGCCTGTGTGAACACTGATAAAATACTTATGGTTATGTTACTTAACAATAAACAGTAGGCAATGTTTGGATAGCAAGATCAGAGAATTTAGACTTCTGCTATCAGACTTTGGGTAAACAGATCTTAGGTATCTTCCTGTCTACACAGGAAGGTTGAGGGAGAGATGAGAGAGGAAGTGGCAACCATTTCTATCTTACATAGTAGTCTTGCCCCCAGTCCTTCAAGATATTAACCAGTTCACTATTTAGTTTTAATTAACAAATATAGTTTTAATTATCAAATACAATAAAATGGGGATTAATTAATTAATTACATGCTGTAAAGCAAGATGTTGGACTTCATAAAAAATATTAAAGATAATTATCAGAATACTTGGATGTCCTCTTCCTACTACTGCTTTTTGATGCTATTCCCCACTTTTTTCTGGTTGCAAAGAAAGTGCCAACCTTCAATACCATATTTAATTATAATTGTGCTTTTGAATTCCTTAAAATGCTGAATGGCTGCAACCAGTATTTTGGTTTGAAATGTGCCTATCTGCTGAGGAAAAAAGGTAGACTGAAGTAGAATGCAACTTAAAATAATGCCCACAGCAAGGTTTTTAAAGTAAATGATTGAAATTGTTAGAATATTTAGAAATTTTGAGATCTCCAGAATTTCACAAAAAGTTGACCATTATTATTTTGTTTATTGGGAACCCAATGGCTGGACAAACCATAACAAAACAGGCAAATATATCCATTCTTTCCATGGAGAAAGAGGTCTCCTCAGAAAGTATTAGGAGAATTAAAAAAAAAATGGAAACGTTGTGTATGTGTGTGTACATGTTTTACAGTTTGTTTAGTGCCCCAGGCACAAATGTGTGCATGCTAATTGTTCCTCCCAGAACTGGACTCTGTCTTTAATCAGTCATGTGGAGGCTAGTTCAGGAAGATGTGAATGGATGAAGCAAGCTTAATAAGGATCAAGAAGAAAGGCAGAAGACACCACTGAGATCAAGATGGAGGGATGATAAGCATGATGCAGTGAGACTTGGTGCTTTGGAACTCCATTCCAAAGATGAAAAAGTATGATAGCAGTGTCAGTAGGCTTCGTAGCATACCGTGTGCAGTGGAAAAACTCTTGCTGGTTGTGTTAAAGGTAGAACCTCATTTGTAACAAACATTACAGTAACAATAGACAGCTATTTTTAATATACAGTTTCTTTTCTCAAATTACTACGAGCATGCAGTTCCTAGTAAGCAGCCTGTGATAACTGGAAGCAGAGCCCCTCCGGAAAGACCCTCTACAGTCAAATGTTACTATCTAAAATATAATGGGCTGAAATGTTTTGTGTTATAATACCATTAATTGACATCCATAGGAATAAGATAAAAGTCCATTATGCTCAGCAGATGTCAGGGCACTGACTTTTTCCCTTAGTCAGAAAGGCATTTATTTTCCTCTCTTGAATGAATGTGAAATGAAGAAAGTAATACCAAAGACCTATCTAGCCAGCATCCTATTTATTACACTGTTCAACTAAATGCCACTGGCTCGTCTTTACTGTTGATCCTGGAGCTGGTATATAGCTAACATAGTTATAACCTCCATGAATTCATCTAATACTCCTTTAAAGTACAGTAGTGGTCATCAGATTTTATGGCAGTGAATTTCATATGTTTTCTCTGAGTTATATGAAGCATTTCCTCTGTCTTTATGAAATCCTTCACCATAGTTTAGCTTCATTGGGTGAGATTTTTTGTAAGCTAGTCAACAAAACTATGTTGCAATATTTGTTTGTAGAGGTCATTCATGTGACTCTTCATACAGTCAGGTCCAGAAATATTGGGACATCGACCCAATTCTAACATCTTTGGCTCT